TTTTCAAATCCAAGAAATATTCAAATTGCAACTAACCGTTAACTCACAGGACCTGCGATAGTCCTGTGTAGAGTGGAAGGAATTAATTACAAAACAATCACAACGGTTACCAGAATGGCAAGCCACGCAACAGCTTACAGAAGTCACATGTGCAGCTTACAGAAGTCACATGTGCAGCTTACAGAAGTCACATGTACAGCTTACAGAAGTCACATGTACAGCTTACAGAAGTCACATGTGCAGCTTACAGAAGTCACATGTACAGCTTACAGAAGTCACATGTGCAGCTTACAGAAGTCACATATACAGCTTACAGAAGTCACATGTGCAGCTTACAGAAGTCACATGTACAGCTTACAGAAGTCACATGTGCAGCTTACAGAAGTCACATGTACAGCTTACAGAAGTCACATGTACAGCTTGTAGAAGTCACATATACAGCTTACAGAAGTCACATGTACAGCTTGCAGAAGTCACATGTGCAGCTTACAGAAGTCACATGTACAGCTTACAGAAGTCACATGTACAGCTTGCAGAAGTCACATGTGCAGCTTACAGAAGTCACATGTGCAGCTTGTAGAAGTCACATGTACAGCTTACAGAAGTCACATGTACAGCTTGTAGAAGTCACATGTGCAGCATACAGAAGTCACATGTACAGCTTACAGAAGTCACATGTGCAGCTTGCAGAAGTCACATGTACAGCTTACAGAAGTCACATGTACAGCTTGTAGAAGTCACATGTGCAGCATACAGAAGTCACATGTACAGCTTACAGAAGTCACATGTACAGCTTACAGAAGTCACATGTACAGCTTGTAGAAGTCACATATACAGCTTACAGAAGTCACATGTACAGCTTGCAGAAGTCACATGTACAGCTTGTAGAAGTCACATGTGCAGCATACAGAAGTCACATGTACAGCTTACAGAAGTCACATGTACAGCTTACAGAAGTCACATGTACAGCTTGTAGAAGTCACATATACAGCTTACAGAAGTCACATGTACAGCTTGCAGAAGTCACATGTACAGCTTGTAGAAGTCACATGTGCAGCATACAGAAGTCACATGTACAGCTTACAGAAGTCACATGTGCAGCTTGCAGAAGTCACATGTACAGCTTACAGAAGTCACATGTACAGCTTGCAGAAGTCACATGTACAGCTTGCAGAAGTCACATGTACAGCTTACAGAAGTCACATGTACAGCTTACAGAAGTCACATGTACAGCTTACAGAAGTCACATGTACAGCTTGCAGAAGTCACATGTACAGCTTACAGAAGTCACATGTACAGCTTACAGACGTCATATGTACAGCTTACAGAAGTCACATGTACAGCTTGCAGAAGTCACATGTACAGCTTGCAGAAGTCACATGTACAGCTTGCAGAAGTCACATGTACAGCTTGCAGAAGTCACATGTACAGCTTACAGAAGTCACATGTACAGCTTGCAGAAGTCACATGTACAGCTTACAGAAGTCACATGTACAGCTTGCAGAAGTCACATGTACAGCTTACAGAAGTCACATGTACAGCTTGCAGAAGTCACATGTACAGCTTACAGAAGTCACATGTACAGCTTGCAGAAGTCACATGTGCAGCATACAGAAGTCACATGTGCAAATTTGCAAAATTCAGATGGTTCTCAGATCATCTTGAGGTATTCCGTAGGCTGAGAGCACCAGAAGATCTAAATCGTTTTAACATTAACTAGCTGTTTATATATCTATGATAAACTACTGATTTTAACATAAATTAGCTGTGACTTAGCATAAACTATCTAGCGGGTTTAATACTCCATTTAATAAATGGTTATTGAAGAGAACACAGTATTACTTGCACCATTAAGTATAGACGAATATAATGGCGATATACTGTTGCCTTAACTGATATATGACGATATACTGGTTTCGATGAGTACAGATGAGTGAAGATATTCTTATGAGTAAGCAACGGCGAACTCATCTGGAGACTTGGCCTCGAAGCTTCACATAATGCACTGCACATCATTCCCACTAATGGTCGTTACCCCTTAATGGCCATTCCCCACAACAGGTCGTTCCTGTGAAGGTCATTCCTCCTACAGTGGATGTCCTACCCCTTTAGGGGTTAAATTTCCCCTATAGGTCATACCTCTTAAGTGGCACATGCCTTTATAAAGGTTATGTTCTCTAAAGGTCAATGGGGTACCCCCCTTAGAGGTCACACCCATTAAAGGTCATACCCCCATTAAAGGTCATACCCCATTAAAGGTCATGCCCTTACATTCCCTAATGGCTACACAGCTTTTAAAAATCACACCTCCCTTAAAGATCACCCCTTTTACAATCACACCCCCTTAGAAAATCACATACACCCCCTTAGGCTCATAATCGCCCCTTAGAACCCCCTTAAATCGGCGAGAACTGTGAGATAAGTTGGAGGAGACCATTTAGGGATGAGAAACAACTCCTCCTCCCCCCCTCAATCCTCCCCATCCTCCCCCCTCTATCCCCTCCCCCCTTTCACAGGAAAGACCCAACCCCTTGCCTGAACCTCTTGACCTCTTCCCAACCAAAATTCTTCACCAAATCTGACCCCAACACAAACCCCCAACCCCCCTCCCCCCCCCACCCCCCACCCACCTAAGTCAAGCTTTCTCTGGCTCTGAGGATTTACCACCACAACAGCCTCCAGGATCCACAATTCTTTTTTGTTTAACCCAAAAATGTGAGAAGAAACATTCTTGTAAACTGGATACATTATTTTTTTTTATTTCAGGAATTTATACGTTCTAACAGAACATAAACAGTCTAGGCGAGAACTGTTCACTTTGTGTTCTTGTTGAACTTGGAGAACAAAGTTATTTTGCACGCTATCAAATTCTTGCTCTCGATAACCACTTCGGAATGGTAGAATAGCAATTAGGATTAATTGAAATGGGGGAGGGATTAATCTAAATTATTCTAAACTAAAATATTCTTGACTATTAAATACCAGTGTTTAACCACAAGCATCCAACGGTAACATTTAACCTGCCAACGGTAACATTCAAACGTCCAACGGTAACATTCAAACGTTCAACGGTAACATTCAAACGTTCAACGGTAACATTCAAACGTTCAACGGTAACATTCAATCTCCCAACGGTAACATTCAAACATCCAACGGTAACATTCAAACTACCAACGGTAACATTCAAACGTCCAACGGTAACATTCAAACTCCCAACGGTAACATTCAAACTCCCAACGGTAACATTCAAACTCCCAACGGTAACATTCAAACTCCCAACGGTAACATTCAAACTCCCAACGGTAACATTTAAATATTCACCTTTATCGAACATTCTCTGCTTCTCATTTTATAACATTCTCTGATATCTGATACACCGACTGAACATGATGCAAACTTTATTCCATCATTTAATTCAAATTACCGCTAACCTTTGACCTTGAATAAGAATTTCCAATATACACAAAAAGCCGTAAGGCAAAGAGACTTCAAAATTATGAAATATTAACACGAGAACAATTGTTAAGTGTTTTATAGACAAATTCGAAACAATCAGAATACGCTGTATTAGGTATACATACTGTACGATATACATATCGTACGGTATACATATCGTAGTATTCATACCCTGCTATATGCAAATTTGTTTGATGTTTTGTGTCTGTGTTCTCCATGTTTCTCCTCGCTTCTCTCAGCTCTCTCTCACGTCTCGATTGATGAATAATGTATGAATGTATAGGCAATGGTGGTAGGTATGAGTATAGGGGGGGGAGGGAGAGAGAGAGAGAGAGAGAGAGAGAGAGAGAGAGAGAGAGAGAGAGAGAGAGAGAGAGAGAGAGAGAGAGAGAGAGAGAGAGAGAGAGAGAGAGAGAGAGACAGACAGACAGAGAGAGAGAGAGACAGAGAGAGAGAGAGAGAGAGAGAGAGAGAGAGAGAGAGAGAGAGAGAGAGAGAGAGAGAGAGAGAGAGAGAGAGAGAGAGAGATAGAGAGAGAGAGTGAGAGACGAACATACTGCTTGCTTCTTAATATATTTAGTAAATGCACCAATAACCACAATCTTCAGCCCAATAATAATAATGTGACACTACTTCCAGAGTGTAGAGATGGTACCCCATCCACGCATTACTTCCAGCAGAGAGGGGCGCATGTCGCCACCCGCGAACACAGCTTCCTGAACACCACTACATAACAAGGTGGTGTCAACAAGGTCAGTGTTATTTGATAACTCAGGGTTGGGAACCAGCATGAAGCAGAGGGACCAAGCCCACTTTCCCCTTCATTAGTTGTGCTTCAACACCAAGCTTCACCAAAGACAGAACATTTGAAACCATTCTTTTTTACACCCATGACCGCAGTTGCAAGCTTTTCGCTACACAACACAGTATGTATTTAAGCTCTGTGAGTTGTTTACAACTCACAATTGAATTCTACAAATATAAATGGAATCTAATTGCTTAACTAGGCCACCTAGTTTATTCCACAAGGGTGGCGTTATCTTAGTCTATCTGCTATTCTTTAATTAGAAAGAGGTCTTTACAATCAAAATAATAGTAGTAGCATATATAACCCCCCCCCCTCTCACCAAATAACAGAAGACCCAGACAGGAATATGATATAAGCAACATGGCCACCATTAATATAATAGAGAGAGCAGCGTCTCCCACTAGCAGAAACGGATCCAGATTGTCAATCATGGTAGACTTCAACCGTGGGACGATTGACTGGGAGGACGGAGAGGACCAGATACCTGGAGCTAAACTGCTAGACGTGACAGCAACAAACTTTCTAAGCCAACATGTCAAGATACCCACAAGAATGGGAATGAGGCAGTTAGTCTTGATCTGATATTCACCCTGAATGAGTCAGACATAAGGGAAGTTAAGATGGAAGCCTCTTGGGTATGAGTGATCACGGTGTACTCATATTTGAGTACCTGGTGGAGTTAGGAGTAACTGGACCTGACGAAGGCTGTTGGACCGGACGGAATCTCACCATGGGTATTAAAAGAGTGTGCAGAAGCCCTGTGCTTGCCACTCTCCATGGTGTACAATAAGTCACTGGAAACAGGAGACCTACCAGAACTATGGAAGACAGCTAATGTTGGCCCAGTATACAAAAAGGCTGACCGCCAAGAAGCACTGAAATAAAGACCTAACTGGTGCCATGCAGGTGATGGAGAAGATCGCGAGGAAAAACTCCCCTAGTTAGCACGCCTGGAGACAAGGTACTTTGTATCACCACCAACATGGGTTCAGGGATGACAATTCTTGCCTCAGTTGTCTAATAGAATTCTGTGACCAGGCGACAAAGATTAAGGAAACACGAGATGGGTGGGCAAATTGCATTTTCTTGGACTGTCGGAAAACATTTAACACAGTACCCCATAAAAACTGGTACATAAGCAGGAGAAACAGGCAGGAGTAACGGGTAAGGTGCTCTAGTGGATAAGGGAAACAATAGGAAGCAGAGAGTTACAGTGAGGGGTGAGACCTCAGATTGGCGTGAAGTCACCAGTGGAGTCCCACAGGGTTCTGTACTCGGACCTATGCTGTTTATGATATGTAAATGATCTTCCAGTGCATATATCCTCATTCCTCTATGTTTGCTGATGATGCTATTATTATGAGAAGGATTAAGACAGAGGAGGACAGCATGAGGCTTCAAGATGACCTGGACAAACTGAAGGAATGGTCCAACAAATGGATGTTAGAGTTTAACCTGAACAAATGTAAAGTAATGAAGATAGGTGTAGGGAGCAGGAGGCCAGATACAAGGTACCATTTGGGAGATGAAATTCTTCAAGAATCAGAGAGAGAAAGACCTGGGGGTTGATATCACGCCAGACCTGTCCCCTGAAGCCCATATCAAGAGGATATCATCAGCGGCATATGCCAGGTTGGCTAACATAAGAACTGTCTTTAGGAAACTTGCGTAAGGAATCATTCCGAACTGTGAATACCACATATGTCAGACCAATCCTGGAGTATGCAGCTCCAGCATGGAGTCTGTATCTAGTCAAGCACAAGACTAAACTGGAGAAGGTTGAGAGGTATGCCACCAGACTAGTACCCGAGCTGAGGGGTATGAGCTACGAGGAGAGACTACGGGAACTAAACTTTACGTCGCTGGAAGACAGAAGAGTTAGAGGAGACATGATCACCACATACAAAATTCTCAAGGGAATTGATAGGGTAGATAGAGACAGTTTAATTAACACAAGGGGCACACGCACTAGGGGACACAGGTGGAAACTGAGTGCCCAAATGAGCTACAGAGACATTAGAAAGAAATTTTTCAGTGTTAGAGTAGTTATTAAATGGAATGCATTAGGCAGTGATGTGGTGGAGGCTGACTCCATACACAGTTTCAAATGTAGATATGATAGAGCCCAGTAGGCTCAGGAACCTGTACACCAGTTGATTGACGGTTGAGAGGCGGGACCAAAGAAATGAAGCTCAATCCCCGTAAGCACACCTATGCAAGAACCACTAGGTGAGTACATTTCTATACTTAAGGACCTTGGTAGATGCTTAAAGTATCTAGATTATGGGCCTTAAGGGCCAGAATACAGCAATTAAACATTCAGATGAAGCCTTAATCGTCAACCCCCATTCCCCCCCTTGAAAGTTCCAGCTTGACCCCCTTAAGAACCACACACTCCCCCCCTTGCCCTTGAGGGCC